GTTCAACGATTTTTAACATGAAAAATGAGCTCAACATATTGTGATTTGTAGAGCTGTATTTAATTAAAACGCGAAATTATTTGTAACCTATCCATTTTAACGTAACGGATCTACGAAATGTACAAATCTACAATCTACGATCTAAAAATGTAGATTCCGTTACTTTAATAAAAAACTTTTCACTCACCGACACGATGCGCAGCGGCGGAGTGCTACGTTGATTCTGCAATGGCGCCCGATGCCTCCTCCTCCACTAAGGTGTCCTCCTCTCAGGTGTCGTTGTCTCGCTCTCCTCTGACACACTCGCGAATTTACACTTCCGTTTGCGAAGTCACTTGTCACTCTCACTGTATTCAAACGCCACTTTTTCGGTTTTCACTGTGTCCGATTGTCACTGAGTCCGATTGTCACCGAGTTCGATTGCACACTACGAACTGTTCGATTGCATCGTCGCACTGATACCCGCACAAATCGCGGGAATTCAACGATCGCACGATGATATCGATCATTGATTGCTCACAGAGAGCGATCGCGGTTTCTTCCCGCACTTGTCGCGAACGCGTATCAAGAAAGAATAATACTATATGCGAAGCGGCGGGCATGACCGATCAATTCGACTGTCGCCGCGTGAATGATCCTGCGTACGGCAAATGCCACTTCACGATCGCGAATTTACACTTCCGTTTGTGAAGTCACTTGACACCGTCGCTGTACCCAAATGCCACTTTTTCGGTTTTCACTGTGTCCGATTGTCACTGAGTTCGATTGCGCACTACGAACTGTTCGATTAAATCGTCGCACTGATACCCGCACAAATCACTGAGGGTGCAAACTCATAGAGCGAAACGGTGTACGCAGAAAATCGCGGAACGACAGCTTCGACCAATCACGAAAACATCGGAACACTCGTGATTGGTCAAGGCCTCCGGGTGCTTTCACATGGAGCGTAAATTACGTAGCGTAACCTGCGTATCACCAATCACAGGATCATGCTGATAGAACCGTTTCAATAACTCCGTTGAACTAGTCCTGTGATTGGCGATACGCAGGTTACGCTACGCAAGTTACGCTCCATGTGAATCCAGCCTGAGTTTGCACCCTGACACAAATCGCGGGAATTCAACGATCGCACGATGATATCGATCATTGATTATTCACAGAGAGCGATCGCGGTTTCTTCTAGTACATGTCGCGAACGCGCATGAAGAAAGAATAATACGATATGCGAGGCGGCGCGGGCACATCCGATCAATTCGACTGTCGCCGCGTGAATGACCCTGAGTACGGCGCCGTAAACGGCGTAAACACCTCTGCCGAAAAAACCGAGCGCGGATTCCAAGAAATGACGTAGCGCCGTATACACCTCGGTCGAAAACAATCTATTGTGTCGAATTCCAAGATATGACGTAGCGCCATATACACCTCGGTCGAAAACAATCTATATTGTGTCGAATCATTCGGCGCGGCGGATATTTCGCGTATTTTCGCGTCGCTCCTCGTAACGCGATCATTTATCCTACGCACGTGATCATCTCGTTCGAAAGTTATTAACATTTGTCAATCGCGTTTAAAGCCCGCTGCGATTTTTCCTGCTGAATTGCTTGCGATTTAGTAAATTACTAGAAATCTTGAGTACTGATCGAATGGTGCAATGATAGTAATTTATTAGACTGCAAGTAGTCCAGCAGGAAAAAATAGCATCGTCTGCAGCGGGTTTAAGTAATTGTCGCAATCCATAACCGTCGTTAATTTCTCATGGTGATTTGTCGCGACGATGACGCGACACGACAAGCCACAGCGCGCGGTTCGTTTAAAAAGCGGCTTCTACTTCAAATTATGCGATATTTGTCGCGACAAATCACCGTAGAAATTAACGATATGATTTGACATCCATTTTTCTTTTAACATCCACTTTTAGTTTAATATCAATGATTACTCCCGTTACGAAAAATCAATAACTCTCGTGTTAGCGACATTTCGTGCATGCAGCACGGGACACAACTAAAATTGGGCACTGCATTAGCAGCTTGAAAAATGGGCGTAGAACGGACACGCACCAAGTGGAGACTTTATCGGCAGTGCTTGAAAATAGGTGTAGCGGAATAGTTCCAGAAATGCACATGGGCGTAAGGCGCTGGAATCAGCCGAGCGAAAACGGCATCAAGTAACACGCTCTCGTGTTTCTCTCTGGTCTATGCGTGGGGCCTGCGCCGCTTACGGTGTAGATAGTGTAGATCGTGCAGGGTATTGCAGGTTATGAGCTACGATTGCATCAGAGGATTCGGTAGCACGAGGGTGTAATGATTCTGCTCTGCTCTGCTCGCGCTGTCGCACGCGTGTAATTTACATCTGCCTGCGATTACCGGCGAGTCTTCCTGACGGCGACGAGGAAAGAAGACCGAACGAATGAGGCCCAACGCGCGCTCGTTCGTCTATCACGTCATAAAACGTAATTACCGTACGTTTCTGTTGTCCCACGTCGGCCGCCTCTGGCAGAATTTGCCGGTCCCCCACAAGCAATTCTCGTCGATTCGCCACGGCTCGACCATGCCGCGCTCCGTCGAGCACATGCTCGGCATGCAGAGGTTAAGGCAGAAGATAAAGGAAAAGTCGTCCAAGTATACTGGCAACGCGAAGGTGTCGTTGCAGGTGGGTGTCTCGTCGAATCGGGAGTCGATGCGACGACCGAAGTCGCCACTTTAACGATTACCGCTTGCCAATTTAACGTTCGCCACTTGCAGATTCTGGGCAGCGGGGCCTACGGCACGTCGAGATGCGTCTACCTGACGGCCGGTCACACCAGGTACATCTTCAACTGCGGCGAGGGGACGCAGAGGTTGGCGTTTGAGCACAAGTACAAACTGAGCAAGTTGGAGCACGTGTTCATAACGTCGGCGACCTGGAGCAACATGGGTGGCATGCCGGGTATGCTCCTCACGATACAGGACGCCGGGGTGCCCAAGATCAACGTGCATGGCCCCAAGGGGACGGTGGACATATTCCACAAGATCAAGCAGATCGCGTTGCTGCAGGCTTTGAAGATTTACGACGCCAAGTGCGACGAGTCGGAGCCATACCTGGATCCAGTCATGTCCGTTTCGTATGTTTCCATTACGAAGCCAGGCGAGCAGGAGGCGGAGCCTCCCATTGACATGTCCAGAATGATGGGAGAGAGAGTTGTCGATAACATCAATTACTACGACTATAAGACCAATGCCAACGGCAAGCGAGTACCTGATAGTATAGCGAAGACGGAGTCGAAGGTGCAGAAGGTCGAGCAGAAGCCTGACAAGAGAATATCGAGCGTAATGTCTTATATTTGCAAATTGCACCCGCGAGCGGGCACGTTATGTTTGAACAAATGTTTAGAGAAAGGAGTGAAACCCGGCCCATTGCTCGGCGAGCTCAAAGCTGGCAACGATATTACTCTTCCTGACGGCACAGTGGTTTTGAGCAAGGACGTTTGCTCGCCGGCGACGCCAGGCCCTATTTTTATAAGTACGTCAACAGCTGCATTTAATTTTCATCTTAAAGGAATATATATCTCTTGCCTGTTTTATTTTTAATTTCATCTGCGTCTTCAGTTGTAGAATGCCCATCGGAAGATTACTTAGAGCCCTTTGTGAATCATCCTGCCTTCACGCAGCATCAAACGGGAACGGCAAGCGAGGACGACGTACCCTGCTGCATCATTCACTTCACACCGCAAGAAGTGATAGACGATTCTCGCTACGTAAACTGGATGGGCAGATTCGGTCTCGGTACGCGTCACATAGTCGTGAACGAGGAGAACGAGTGCATGGGCACCGAAGCGGTGCACAGGCATCAGCACAAACTCCATATGTTACACCCGGAGATATTCCCCTTCTTAAACGAGGATAGCTTTCAAAAGAAGACGAGGGTGAGGCCCATCGTTTCGCGTCAAGCTCGTTCTTTAATTCTGGACACGTCGAGGAAAGTCCCCTATTATGAGATAGGTTCCTAATAGGAGATAGCAGAGTTTTTGTTAAATAAATAGGCATCATCTGTTGGTTCCATCATGAATTTATAGCCCGTGGAGTGAACTCTGTTTAGTGGAAAATTGATTGTTAGATCGCGTAATCGTTGCGAAAAAAGATTTGTGATTGAATTTGAACGTTGAAAACCTGCTACCTCATAATAGAGGACTTTTCTCTACCTAAGAATGTAGATTTAAATAACTAAGTTACTCTTTTCTTCAGGCGAAAGATCTGCCCATTATACATCGCCCCAGAACGCATCACACCGTCCACCTGCAGCCGCACTTGAGATTCGACACGAAGCTCGAGGTATCGCTGCACCCGAAGGAATACGTAGACGAGGTTCTCAACACCGATGGCATTTTAGATGCGTTGGCGGAACTGCAAACGGACATCAACGCCCGAACGAAGACGCTGCCGGTCGACGAGTACCCGAAGATCGTCATGCTGGGCACTGGCTCTAGCATACCGAGTAAAGTCAGAAACACGAGCGGCATACTCCTGCGAGTGGACAAGGACCACACCATGTTGCTGGATTGCGGGGAGGGCACGTTCGGGCAGATGGTGAAGATCTACGGGAGATCTGGGACGAGCGACATCCTGAAAACGATCAAAGTACGACGATCACTCACGCTTCTGTCTTCCTTCGTGAATTCTCCGCGATCGATACTCTCGCTGATACTCGCAATTGTATTTCAGGCGGTGTACGTGTCGCACATGCACGCGGATCATCACATTGGATTGATTGGCCTGCTGAGAGAGAGGAAAAAGGTCACGGATGACCCGCTGTATCTGTTCGCGCCCGGGGCCATTTCCACGTGGTTGCAGATGTATCATAAACGTTTCGAGTCTATCCTGCATCGAATAACGCTAATCTCGAACAGCGAGTTCTTCATGGACATACATATTTCGGATCACTTCAAGTACAGGAACATGTACGAAATGCTGAACGTGCAGGCCGTGAAAACGGTGTACGTCAAGCATTGTCCTTATTCTTATGGCGTTTCCGTGACCCTTCACAACGGACAGAAAATAGTATATAGGTAAGTATAGTAATTAATGAATCTGTCTTTAAAGTCTTAAGTTAATTGTTCAGGGCCTGAGCAGAGTGGCTGCCTTGTACTCTTAAGACAATGTTTTTATGTTTTAACTCTTTGACTTAAAATAATGGTAAGTATCTGTAATTGTGTCTCGATAGTACAGGACAGTCATTCCGCGCTCAGGTCCTCACTCAACTGTATAGACATAATCTTTCAACTATTTCATAATTTAGTTCGACATGATTGTCTTACCTGTTTTCTTTACACGTGAATTACAGATATAATATTATATTTTCAGCGGTGACACTATGCCCTGTGAGAATCTCGTGAAACTTGGTCAAAATTGCGATCTGCTCATTCACGAAGCGACAATGGAGGACGATCTACTGGAGGAAGCGAAATTAAAGGTCCACTCGACGGTCTCGCAGGCCATAGAAGCGGGCGAACAGATGAAGTCCAAGTTCACGCTGTTGACGCACTTCAGTCAACGCTACGCGGTCATACCTCACCTGTCGGATAACCAAGATGGTTCTAAACTAAATAATGTCGGCATTGCGTACGACAACATGCACATTAGCATGTCGCAATTGCCGCTGTTGCCTTTGATGTATCCGACGTTAAAAATAATGTTTAACAAACATTACCTAGAGATAGAAGACCGAGCTGCTAGAAGACAACGAATGGTAGTAGCTGAATAAATACGTTATGTAAATTGTTATTGCAATTTTCTGACTGATATCCGATACAGTTATCTGTTGCTGAAAAGTCAAAATTTTTAACAGATATTTAATGATATGTTGCATGGCAATGAATTTAACTAACCGTTAAAAGTTTATTCCTCTAATTTTTAACGTGTAAGATAAATCGCACGACTGATTTGTAAACAGGTGGTTTTCTACGATATTTGTATAAATCAAAGAATCGTACTGTGTAGCGATCGTGATACAGAGCGTTGTGTGCTGATCTAAGGAAGCGAAGACCCGAGTTCAAAGCTGACTAGAAATTGTCGGTTTTTATTCGATCACACTCGGAAGGAAATGATGACCTGCCGAGAGTTTTAACTTCCAGGCTTTCGTGCCTATTGATATCGTAAGTAGTAATTGCTTCCGGATGGATGCCAATTACTGCTGCCGAGAGGATCTCGGCCCTCCTATATAGATATATAAGAGAGTTTAATGATGAAAAATCGAGTAAGATGCCCATCACCTATCCACCTTAAAAATTCTGAAATCTCTACGAGGCTCTATGTCCCTCATAGGAATCCTTATTTCTAAAGGCCTTATGCTCCTACTAGGAGTGATAGGATTTAATAATTAAACAATCACACTAAACTTGAGCGCAACAGACCTGAACCTTTGTATATCATCTTGTATATAGCCCTGTATATATGTATGATCAGTTTTGCGAGAGAAATCTCGATTGTGACGGGATAAATTATTCGGCGCCCAAGTCCTGACCAATAAAAAAATTGTCTTATTACATCCTTTAATTTATTACATCCATTGTTCTTAATACGGCTCTACCGTGAAAAAGTAGTAAAAAGAGAGAGATCGCCGCTTACGTAATGTGTGTTTAAGTGAGTAATACGTGTGTCCTCGTCAGTGAATCGAGACGTGTAACATCTGAGCAACATCTTGTCCAAAGTGGTAAAATATTCAACGAACATATATTCCCGCCCGCTTCGCATTCGTAAATGTTTGTTTCGCCTTTTTTTTTAATTAAGCGGCGCGAGGCGTACAAATGGCTACAATTACTGTAATTAGTGTAATGATATTGAAGTGGCAAACTTATATTTACACGAGACTGACGTAACTTAATATTTTTTTCTCCCTCACTCTCTTCCACGAGATAGTCTATTCTCATATTTCGTATAATTTTACTCGATGTATCAGAGAGTTTCCAGATCCACGTGAAACGATCCTGTCGATTTTGCTCGTCGTTTACGAGAAGAGCGAGGAGACCGAGACGAAATCTATCTTACTGCTAAAAAGCGCGTCGAAGTATCGCTCCCAATGAACATGAGAAAAGAGGGGAAAAAAAGCGAACGGGATTTCTCACGAATCCGTGTGGTGCGAATCATTCCATCACCAAGCCTTAGTACGGCATATTTTCATTCACTTAACATACGCGGTAGGCTAGTACGTGTGAAGCGGGGTAGTACAGCGAAACTGCGCGTGCATCTCGTTGAACGAGCTTTTCCTAACTTATATGATCGTAACAGATATATCTCGGTAATGAAATCTGGAGATTGATATCGATCTAACCGAGGAGATGGGGGGAGGCAGGGTAGTGATTGGATATCGATCGGATTGGATCTGCCTCTCTTTCAATTGTGCCTTCTTAACTGTTATTTCTATATACTCTTCTAAATAATCTGATATATAAAAATGTACCCATAACGATAGCAAAAACTCATTACCACGCTGTGAGCGGAAAGAAAAATCTGTGATTCCTGGACGCGTGATCTCTCACCGATTACATTTTATCATATATATTTCTTTTATATATCTCAGAATAATATAAACTAAATAGACATATGTATATATAATGACGATTGTTACATCAATTCTACGATTAAATCGTAGAATTACGAATGGACGTGATGCATACGAAAAATGTTGATATAAATTTGAGCTCGCAGCGTGGCAAACCGTATATACCTATAAATATATAAAGATATAAAATTGTGTGTTACGTATAAAATAGACCGTTATAATAGCCGGTCCTTTGGACGTCTCTCGGACTTTTGCGTTATCGGTTGCGGATGGACCAGCCAGTCTCGATACTGCGGATCCGCGAAGCTTTACCGAGAGAAAAAGAAAAGTGTATATTGGAGCGGAACGTCGAATACTGTAAACTGCCGTTTCGACGCGACGCGGTATGCTCGATTAAGTACGCGGCAGGAACCAGCGCGAACTGCCGTTGTTGTTCCGGGGTTACGGTGCTGCGAGTTACGACCACAAAGCTGAGGAGGCGGTGGAATACACATCTTGCCCGTTGCATTTATACTGTTTCACCCTCCGCATTAGAACTCCCACTTCGTGGCGGTGTCGTAGTCCGACTCGCCCAGACGCAGCGCGCCGTTCTTGCCCGCGGTGAGGTACCGGCCGTCCGAGCACTTGATGCAGATCCGTGACGGCTCGCGCAGTTCCAGGTAGAAGCCGTCGGACGGCACGTCCGAGTCCACGGTCACCCCCTCGCTGTCCGCGTGCCAATATTTTCCGTTTTGCCCTGTAATCGATGAACGGATGCGCGATAGAACCAATCCGGACGAACGTGAACAGGAAGGCGAATATTTTTTAGTGACATGCAATCAGCCGGCCTTCCTTCACGTTAACTATTTTATATGTTATAATTTTATGTATAATAAAATACAATATTGTATATTTTATAATTACGCGCAAAAAGGTGTATAAATAATGTATATTAATTCAGGTTGACTGATGAACGAAGAAAGGTAATTACCTTTGAATCTGACTAAGCCGCGCTCGCATCGCTCGACGCGTATCGTCTCGTAAACGGCCTTGTTGCACTCGAGCTTGGGACTGGCCGCGCTCTTGGGCCCGACGAAGCCCTGCTCGCATCGCAGCACCAGCACGGGCCGGTTCATCAGGTAGAAGTAATACTTGGCAGCGTCGGAATCGTTGCCGTTCAACGAGTCGGCGTTCGCGTAGAGATGGCCGGATCGCTTGGTGGCCAGGAACTTGCCGTTGTTCGCGCGCAACGCGACCGTGCCGTCGTCGGACTGCCACGCCAGGTCGAAGAGCGCATTGGACGAGCGCTTATGATCCGACGCCTGTATGCCGCCGCCGGCCTCCAGACTCCAGTAACGGTCCTGCATCGTTCGCACGTACCACCGTTTCGTCACCCGGTCGAACTCTAACTGGAATGTCTCGTGGCCGGAAATCTCGTCCTGATTGGCCGTCACGTCGACGCCTAATCACGAATAATTTTTCGATACATCTGGACTTCGTCACGCCGACGTGAGATCGTTAAGCAAAAGCCTGGAGACTTACCTTGCTTCACAGAGACGTATCGCTGGTTCAACGCCGCGACGAAGGACGCTTGCGGCAGAGATTCTTCCAACGAGAAAAGCTCGTCGCGCGTGACAGTCGTTGATCTCGATTTCAGAACGGCCTTACTTCCGATCGGTGCCAAGTACGCGCCGTGTATATCCCTGCAAAATAATTGATTTATTTTATCACGATTTAATTTAATTCAAATCATCAAGTTCGAATAATCAAAATTGAAATTAATTTTAAAACGATTGCACTTTGTGCACACGACGCGTCTTTTTATGTACAATATATGAAGAACCGCAAAGAAATTATGTGACTGGCGGTACCGAAGAGCGAGAAGACCAGCGTGGAATTCCGCGGCGTACAGGCAGTCTCGCGTGCAAGAGTCGAGAAGTTTGCCATCACGTGCGAGGTATTTATTGTTGCAAGTGTGTAGCGCATAATGACCGCCCTCGGGCTTAGAATGATTTCCGTGGCTGTCGTCGTCGCCCGTCACCGGGCGAAATTCCAAGGTAAACAGGGTGTCCTCACCCCAGGGCACCGGCGCGTCCACGTGGATCTCGTCCTGAGTGGCGCTCAGATGTGCAAACCGCTTTCTTCCAGCCGACCGAAGATTCACCTAAATAATTTAATCGATTAAATAGCTTATCGAAAGCTCACCCCAGCTAGATAATTGAGTCGATTGAGCCTGACCGATTTTGTCAAGAGTTCAATAATTGTCTCATTTCAGTTATTATTGTTATCTTTAACAGAAAAAATACATGGTGTTTTCGGAAATGCCCAGTGTATCTTGGATGATAAGAATTTTTCAGATTGTTAAGAAATGCGTTTCAATCGAAAAATCCTTTCCGAATTGACCCGAGGGGCTGAAACGGTACAACGCCACTTTGTAAAGATACAGTACAACCGTAAAGGAACGAGCGACGTCTCGGAACAAACTGAGACTGTCGGGGAAAATCAGTCGCCCAAGAAAATACAGTTATTAGTCAAGTTGTACGTCGGGCGACTAGATTGCGTAAAACGGTTCGCAGTGAACGCTCGCGAAATCTCGAAGCTTAGGCTGCTCGGGGTATACCTGCGGTCTGGCGGCGAGGTGCACCAGCCAATACTCCGCCTCGCCTGGGGCCTTAGCGGTACACTTCAATTCATCTTGGCTCGAGCCTAAGAAGTAGCCCCTCTGGAGATTCTTCAGAGCCCATCGTCCGCTGCCTGCAATTTGTCACGATCGCCTTGAGAGAATCGCCGATACACTTTTACCCATTCATTACAGTGCCCCGATTGACGCCGGATGTTTGGAATAACCGTCTGATTGGCAGACGCTAAGTCGTCGGTGGAAGATAAATATAGCCGTCTGCCTCTTATACCTCGTTCAGTTCGATTAAAGGATAATTTACGATTCGAAAATTATATTATACCAATATTGAAATAGAATTATCAAGATTCTCCTTCGTTCGTCCGTCATTCCCTCTTTGTATTCGGGTGAATTGTATATCTCTTTTAACATTTTTTTTTTTTGCGAAGAAAATGTCTGTTTACTTTGGGGATATGAGAAGATATTAGATGGCAACTGGATTTTCTATATCTCTAATACCCTGATGCTTTATGCAAATTAAAGTGAAGTCTAAGTACCGTCGGAAGCGAGTTGTATTTGAAAAGCGCATCCTGGATCCGACGAGTCCTCGCTCTCGCACGTCACGTTACCAAACTGGTCGACCGCCAGGTATCGATCCAAGTGCGAGCGAAGGAAAACCTGATGCTCGCTGCCCTCCAGAATCCACAGTTGCTTCTTCTTCAGGCTCGACCCGTTAGCGTTGATTTTAAAACCGAACGTCTCCGCCGTTAGATACTTGAACTTCCCGTTGATCAGTCCAACCTGAAAGCCGTCTCACGTCAGTCATCGTATAGCTCATCTATACACTTTTCATATTAATTTTAATGAAAAACTATTGATAGTAATTCAAATAAACTACGTCTACACCTTTAACATTGATTTAAATGAAGACTTTAAGTTAAGATCAAATTGGAATATTCTTCGTTTGTCGAGCAATTACGAGGAACAAATAAGAATAATTGTTTCGTCGTTGAGATCGCTGACGTCATTCCCGCTTCAATTGCGATTAGATCCGCGGGGTAATTTCATCCAAAAGAGATAAGGAAGCGTAAATGGGATATCGGTGAATCTTGGAACGATGCCGTTATCGCGCTTTGTAGCTTCGGCGAACTGCAGTTTACATAAATAACATTCTTTTTATGAAAAATCAATATTTATGTTGCACAATTATTTTATACTTTGAATTGGATATTAAAGAGCAATTTTGCACAACAGACTTTTCTCAATGTATAAACAGTTTTCCAAACTGCCACGTGCATCTGGCGGCTTTTCCGCATCTGTTTCAGAAAGGTAACAATTCGAAGGGATAAAGGATATATCCTGGCTGGGGTAAATTTTTCACAATAAATTTAAAAATTAAAAGTCACTTAGACACTAACGTCCTGTCTTGGCTCTTATATCCTTTATTCCTTCGAATTGTGATTTTCACGCCAGAGCCTTATGAACTTTATTGTATGAACGGGTAATTTTTTAAATGTCTAACTTGTCCGCTCGATCAATCGGTACGTACCGTCCATCCCGATTTGTCGACTCCATTCTCGGATCCTACATTCTCCGAACCGTTGCTCTGCATCGTATTGCCGTAGCTGGACGAACTCGGTTACTCTCGCTACCAAAACGTACCCCCAAGCAGCCACTCAACGTCTGAAACAAATCACGCACGTTAATTAACGACGGTCTCGACGTCTCAGGTGTCATCGATCGAAGAAACGGAAGTACGAGTGACAAAGGAAAGTCGAGCTTTATTAAACGCGATTCGCCGTGCGCTAGTCAACGTTGCGTAATATTCTATAATTAATAATTGAATACAAATTATGAAAATCACTTCGTAATTGTAAATTATAGATTTATAAAATATGACATTATAAATTATAACAAAATTTATGATGTTAAAATTTACGTTTCTACGAGTCGTAAGGTCTTTTAAATCATTAATTGAAGTTACACAACGTTACATGTTTACAACTCGCGCGCAACTGGCCGACCTCAAAGCTCACCCTTCCCTGTCGCTCGTTAATTTTAATATCGAGAGCCTTTAGTTAATTAATCGTTCATTTGAAATGGAAATGCACATCGCGCACTGTGTAACTGGAGTACGGGAGGGTGGGCCTTTATGTCGCGCGCCGATTGAGAAATCCGCCGGTGCTCGTATTGATCCCTCAAGTCTCATCCCGGCGCCTATCGCCAGCGGACGCCGCGCGACTCGGGACGAAACGTTTCGCTATTATTTGCGTTCCGGCCCGCTTCTCCATGTTCCGCTCGCACCTGTCCCGTCACCCGCGCGGCGGTTCCGCCTCGTTCTGTCCCGGTCTTCCTCCCCGATTTCGCGATGATCGCACGATTTCGTCGTTTCTCAGAGAGTTCTCGTATCGTTAGAAAGTTTTTCTCTCACGTATCCATCACGAGCCACTCGTGCCACGTGCTCGCGAACAGAAAAGTTCTCAAGTGGCAAGTTTAAATAAATCGTTACGTTCGGTAATCCCGACGAGAGGATTTCCGCTTTGTTGAAACTCGCGGGGATCAATCGGACTGCGAGAGATTGTAACGGTCAGATAATACGCTGTTTTAACATTCAAGTGCATAGCTTTGCGAAGAAACCTTTTTTATTTTTTATGCGCGGCTTTGCAGATGCGCAAACACACGAGAGTAGTCCGGAGAGAATTCAAGGGGGAATTCATTAAATATTAACAATTAATAAAATTTATAAGGCCCATATCTAATAAACACAAGGAAGATATAGGACTAAAGGCCAAGGGAGGATGTTAGTGTCTAAATAATTTATTTTGAATTTATTGCAAAAAATGTTACTTCAGCCAGGGTTTGAAACTGGACCTCCCTAGGCGGGCGTTTCATTAATTCGACCACTGAGGCATGTGGTAATATTTATCGCAATAAACAGTCTAAATTTTAAGATAAATTATCTTAGACACCCCATAGTAATAAATAAAGGGAGAGAGAGCGAGAGAGAGAGAGAGAGAGAGAGAGAGAGAGAGAGAGAGAGAGAGAGAAAGGATAAAAATTTTTCTAATAAAATATATCCAAATAATTAAATTATATAATTCTTGATTGGATGGCGTTTATACTTGGCGTCTTTTTTCCCTTTTTATTAAAAAAAACCAGGTTATTCTTCAAGGTGATCCAAATAATTCGTTTACTAATTGTGGGCCAAAATGAGGTGCTGTCTTTTTTTCCCAGAGTCTGTGGTTGTCATGTACCCACATTGGTATGATAAGTAGAGGAGACAACTATAATGCGTTTTGTGTAGCAAACTTAGTGAATGTTGCAACACAAAACAATGTAGATGCCCCTACTACTTATACGGCGACATTTTAATTTTAGTTATTTTTGCCTTAGCCGGTCTCTCCGTGTACAGTTTCCTCTCAATATTTGCGACCATTTCCACGGCGGTTGCGTTAACGGAGAGCGGACATTCGTACCACTCCATTTAGCTGGACCTAACGACGCCGGCAAGCTCGCGCCGCGATAAGATCCGCGCGATTTTATCGGGCGACGCGCTCTCATCTCCGGCATCCCGTCGTCCGCGATCGATCTCGCGCGTCTCGAGAATCTCTCGACGGATCACTTAGGATCAATTCGTGCCTGTTAAATCACGGCATTCGCCACTCGTGCGGTTTTAACCGTTAATTTAACCGGCCGAGCGAGAAGCGCTTATTCGAGAGGGTATCAACCTTCGCCTGCCACATCCGTACCTGAAAGAACGAAACCGAGGTCGAGTTCGGCTCGATCTCCGGAGCGTCTCCCGGATCGGGCGTACGGGAGACTCGCGTCCTCGCGATCCGACTCCGATTTCCGTTATCAATTTCCGCCGAAACGCGCCGCTGGACGTTCAATTCGCTTCGCGATGCCCGCGATACACGAGGCTACATTTTACCGCGGGTATAGAACGTAAACGAGCCGCTTGCCAATCGCGGCGTGTCATTGAACCGCGGCCACTGGTATATGTTATATTCCATCGCGATGTATGCGCGCGCGGGACTCCGAAACCGGGTCTCACGGCGATCAATGTGCGATCCATCTCGAGGGATAATTACGCGCGGGATCGTGCATAAAAGCGATTCCGTCGCCCATTTCCCGGCCGTGGCGTTCCCACAGCGTGTGTCTTTAAAGCGTTTTACGCCCGGGAATAACAGTGGGAGTTCCTTGAACTCGTGAAAGGAATTCTTTCCTTCGGCCTTTACGGCGCGAGCGTGACCGTCATGATTCCGGAGATTCGCGGCTCGAAAAAGAGTACGGTTTCGTTTGATTCAATAGCCATCGGACCTCTCCTTGCACATCGGACCGAGCTCCGCGAATCCACACCCGAGATCGAAAAAGTTTACGTTGCCCGTCGGACTTGCAAGATTGTAAAGGACCACGGCACTAAGTTAGATGAAAAAGTGGCCGCCGACAAAAACTGTGAAAAAATATGTATGCGACGCCGAATAAAACTTCAGAATACGCTAGCCTTCAGGCTACGGAGCCCATAATAGGCTCCTAATACGAGATAGCGGAGTTTCTGCTAAATTAATAGGCGTCGTCTGTTGGTTCCACCATGAATTTATTGCCCTTGGAGTGAGGTCTGTTTCGTGGAAAATTGATTGTTAGATCGTGTAATCGTGGCGAAAAAAAAAGATTTGTCATTGAATTTGGACGTGGAAAACCTACTATCTCATAATAGGGGACTTTCCTCTAATTATTGCGTGGTCCTTTACTCATCTTCCTTTTGTGACAAAGAAAGTAGAGATGTGAAACGACTTATATCCCTCTTGCATGGAGACCCCTCGCGAGTCCCGTCGCTTACAGGTGGGAATCTGAGAAATTAATGTTTTTTTTTTAAATTAAGTTAGAGGAAAAATTATGACGATGAACATTGAAATATCTCTCGTCCGTCTTAATTGTTTCTATTATCCTAATAAATCGCGATCTCGGGGGGGGGGGGGATGTGATTCCGCGTGGGTGAAAAATAATTTCCATCTGGCGCGCACAAAAATTCCAAGCTACAAGCGTGAGCAGTGAAAGCGGGAGTTCGCTTTGTCAACCACGCGGTCGGTTGGGCTCGCTCTTAAATTTTCCCGTCACGAACCCGAACGGAAATACTTTCAACCGCAGCGGACGGGGACAACGTTAAAGCACGAAGACGCGTGCGACGCGTTCGATGCGCCAGATCGTGCGGGAATCGAGAAGTGCGCCCTCGGCGGACGAATCGGGATCGCTCGGTCAGATTTAACTCACCGGGTCCGTCAATTTTATTGACAATTGATCTATTTTATTCATTCCCTTAAGGCCTGTGTCCACGAGGCTAGAAACTACAACTTGGACCAAGTTCTAGCCTCGTGGACACAGGCCTTTACAGAAATGTAACAACTGGGAACAATAAAAGCACTGAACAATTACCAGAGTTCAGTAATGGAATTATTAGAAATTACTGACGTACAGTAATTTCTAGTAATTATTCTAGTAATTATTTCGCTTACATTTCTACAAGAAACTAGAACGTGGACCAAGTCCTAGGATCGTGGACACAGACCTTTAGGCCTTTCATAAAAATCGAAGGTATCAATGGGTTCCCCGCTGCACGCGTCCGCTAATAAACGGCAGAGCAAATAAACGGTCGTTGGCGATAAAAGAGAAACTCGAGAGCGGATCCGCGAACCGGTTGGATTTAGAATGATAGACGTCGGGGCGCGAGAGTTTTACCGCGCTCGAACTCGGTACGGCACTTTTACGAGCGCGAACGTATGACGAGTAACGCGAGCCGTATGGCGGTGCGCGAGCAGATATCGGTCCAAGAAAAGCCGCGAACGGGTTCTTTGGCCGAACCCGCTGATCGCACCGAGGACACCGATGCACATCGTCTCGCTCGATCGGCAGCCTCGCTCGGCGACCCCTTCGCCTCTCTTGGCGTATCTAATCTTTCTCTTTCAGGACACGCGTAACATCAGAGTTATTCCAATTATTATATATACTTATTATATATACCAATATAGCCCATGTGTCCTCCGATCAATTCCGTAGCGATATGTTACATTTAACAACGGATGTTATCCTTCCAACGAGTTTTGCACACTTACCCCTGGTCCACAATCTTGCTTTAAGTAAGCTGTAAGCCTTAAGCCGTGAGAAATTAACCAATCACAGGCATTTATTCCCCTCACTCTCACCTGTGATTGGTTAATTGGTGAGTCAGTGGTCGAATTGGTGAGACGCCCGCCTAGAGTGTAGGGGAAGTCCTTTAATTGGAACTTGCCAGTTAGCGTCGTTTACCAATTTTTCTACGCTTGCAAAATTTTTTAATTAAAAGTTTAACTTCGAGCTGCTATACTGAGTCAATCGCCGATAATTTTAGAGTTACGACTTCAGATTCAGAATTAGCGAACCAAAAACCCAGATATAAAGTAGTAGAGACATCGAAGAGAAAGAGAGAGAGAGAGAGAGAGAGAGAGAGAGAGAGAGAGAGAGAGGAGGGGTGTTGATTTTTTAATTTCGGTAGGTGTAACATATATGTTACACCGTGCTTCAAAGGGTTAAGTAAGACACATAGGAATGTATTGTCTCGTTTTAGTGCAAGATGAACAGCGGTCTTTACATTTGACATCGTTATTTAAAATTCGTTTTTGTACTCATTTTTCCCAAAAAAGGTAAAA